GTTCTACCTTCCAGCAAACATTCAAACATAATTCAGATAAGTTCTTTGCTACTACATAAAAAGCATAACCTTCCCTCCATTGTCCAGTCTTACGTTCATCATTTCCTTTTAAAGTCTCACCACAATGCAATGAACATCCACATTTCTAGCAACATTCTCTTCATGACCATACAAGCTTTTATCACAGCTCTCAATTCTTTCTAAACCCTCATCAAAATTGCTGCTAATGCCCACAATTCTACCAACAGTCTCTTCAAAACAAACTAGGGCCTTCTTATGAAGCACACCAAATTCCTCTAGCCTCTACTCATTACCCAACTCAAAAACCACTTCCATGTTTTAGGAATTTGTTAAAGCAGCACCCCTCTTTAGTTATCCAGTGATGCTGTAACAGAACTGCACAAGTAGGTGGCTTTAACGAGCAGAAATTTATTCTATCACAGTCTGGGAGGCTAGAAGTCCAAACTCAGGACACTGGCTCTAGGGGAAGGCTTTCTCTCTGTTAGCTCTAGGGGAAGGTCCTTGTCTCTTTTCAGCTTCTGTTCCTTGGTTCCTTGGCAATCTTCATGTGGTATCTATCTTCCCATCTGTGCTTCCTTGCCTCTTTGCCTCTGTGCCTAATCTGCTCTTTTATGTCTCAAAAGTGATTGGTTTAAGATACACCCTACATTGATAGGGACTCATTAACATAAGAAATGGGATTATATCCACAGGTATAGGAGTTAGTAATCCAACACACATTTTGAAGGGACACGATTCAATCCATAGCACCATCAAAAAACAGCTATTTTTCTCTCACAAACCAGAAATCTCCAGGTGGGGTAGCCCAGGATTAATTAGGTCAGCTGCTCAGCACCATAATAAAAACTCATCTTTCTGTTTGTCATCCTCATTGTATAAACTAGTGTGAAAGAGACTGGCTCTGCATTGTCCAATAACGCAGCCACTCGCCACATCTGGCTATTCAAAAAACCAAACAAACCCATTGCCGTCGAATTGGTTCGGACTCATAGCAACTCTATAGGTCAGGGTAGAACTGCCCCATAGGGTTTCCAAGGCTGTAATCTTTACAGAAGCAGACTGCCACATCTTTCTCCCGCGGAGTGGCTGAGGGGCTCGAACCGCCCATATTTTGGTTAGCAGCCAAAAGCTTTTAACTGCTGTGCCACCAGGGCTCCTTTGATATAAAATTAAAAATTCAGGTTCTGAGTCACGCTCCAAGTTACTAGTGATGACTATATTAAAAAAGAAAAAAAAAGAAAAAACAACCATTGCCATCAAGTCGATTCTGACTCATAGTGACCCTACAGGACAGAGTTGAACTGCCCCATAAGGCTTCCAAGGAGCAGCTGGTGGATTCAAACTGCCGACCTTTTGGTTAGCAGCCGAGCTCTTATGCACTGCGCCACCAGGGCTCCCGTGAGTATATTAGACAGCACAAATCCAGAATCTCCCATCACTGCACAGTTCTGTTGAACAGCGGTGGGCTAGGTGCTCTTCAGTCCCATTTCCCTTCGTGTGCACAAAACAAGATCCCATTTCCAGCCTCCTTTGCAGTTAAGTTGGGATTACGTGTGTGGGTTCCAGCTAATGGAATGTAGACAACTGTGTGGCTAGAGGCAAAGGATTCTGAGATGGTGAAGCCAGAGAATGGAAGCATGTGTGTCCCTGCGTCCCTGAGCGGAGGAACTCTACCAGGGGAGCCACCTGACTCACACTGGTCTGTGACACAACTGAAACCCCTTGTACATTGTGAAGCCCCTGTGACTTGGGGCTGTTTGATGCAGCCCTTGGCACGACTCGCCGGACTGATTCTGCTAGTCGCCCTCGTGGTTACAAGACAGCTATATCAATCTTGGACTAAATACAGATTCTTTAGATAAGGCAACCAGGAGGCTTGGGACCGAGGGTAGCAGAAGGGGCTGGTGCTCCCCAGTCTCAACTACAAATGTCCAGCTCACAGGACAAGGCTGGACCCAAGGCTTTACCTTGTCCTACTGCTATTGAACCCTGGCCCCTGACCACACCAGGGGAAGGGCTGGTGCTTCGCTAATCGTAACGCTAAAAAGCCCCACAGGGCAAGGGTGGGGGCCCTCTCCTGGAGTCTACTGATCAGCCCACTAGGTCTCCACGTGCAGCCCCCAAACGAGCAAAGGAAGACAGTATACCTGTTACCACTGTCTCCATGGCTGATGCTTCCACAGGCATTGTACCGCCCGGCCCTCTATGCATGACGGTAAAGAGACGGAACGGAGGAGAGAAGGAAGTCATGAGCCCCCTTCCTCAGGGATCTGTAAATAGCTGCTGTCCACTCAACTGAGTGACGATTAGTGCAGTGCACACTTTGGACATAATCTCTGATCCTCACAGCAAACCAGCAAGGCAGCCACCATTATCCTTATTTTACAAATAAGGGAACTCAGAGTCAGAGACGAAGTGCCCAGGGTCACACAACTAGGAAGTGACAGGGTCAGACTGCACACCTCACTTGATCTGTCTCCTCAAACAGAGTTTTCTCTGCTTCCGTGACGTGTTTCTATGTGCTGCCCAATCCCAGTTTCCTGTAGGCAACCTATTCCTCAAGAAAACTGCAGCCCATAGTTTGTAGATACCAAAAATGTGCGTGGTAAGTTATTTCAGGCAGCCTGGTGGCTTGTTTCTGGCCCATCTGGGCCCAAGGTCTTATGGCTAATTTGATTATTTAATGGGTTTCTTTTCAAAATTATTTTGGTGAACATGTATACAACGAGACATTTACCAATTCAACCATTTCTACATGCTATAATTCAGTGACATTGATTACGTTCCTCATGTTGTTGTGATGGGTTTCTTGTGTAGTTCTCAGATAAAAATTAGGTGAAGGAGAGGCAAAAGATGAAGCTATGCACTTAAGGCCAGTGTCTTAGCGCAGGGTGTCACCTTGAACCACTTGTTGACGATAAATTACATCGCAAACGTCTTAGAACCAGAACGGTCCTGGGAGATTCAAAGACAGGATCTTTTTGTCGCTGAGGAAAACAAAGTCAGGAAATGACATATTTGTCTAATAACCAGCTATTCGGGATCGAATTGTGTCCCTCCAAAAGATATATTGAAGTCTTCACTTCAGAAAATATGTTGTACCTATGAATGTGACTCTTTTTGGAAATAAGATCTTGGAAGATGTTATAAGGTTAACATGAGGTCATACTGGAGTAGGGTATGGGTCCTAGTCCTGTATGACTGGTGTCCTTATAAAAGAGAAGATACAGAGGAAGGACACCATGTGATGTCACAGCTGCAAGCCAAGGAATGCCTGGAGCTGCCAGAAGCTAGGAGAGAGGCGTGGCACAGGTTCTCTCAGAGCCTCAGGAAGAACCAACATGGCTGACAGCCTGCTCTCAGACTCGCAGCCCCCAGAACTGCGAGGCAACAAATTTCTGTTGTTTAAAGACACCCAGTTGTGGTATGTTGTTACAGCAGCCTAGGAGACTAATACACCACAGGAATCCGTTAAAGCAGAATCTCTCTGCAAAGTACACAGATCCTAACATTTTGTAAATTCTAAGCGGGAAGTAAGTCCTTGAGTTTTGGATTTGGAGAGCTGAAGCATTTTTGGCAGTTTGCGTTGATGATCCAAACATCGCATTCTAAAACTTCCATTGTTGTCTTCATTTTTGTCTTTTCAAGCATTTATGAAGGGAGATACAAAACTGGAAAACCCTGGTGGCATAGTGGTTAAGTGCTACGGCTCCTAATCAAAAGATCGGCAGTTCGAATCCACCAGGTGCATCCTTGGAAACCGTATGTATGGAGCAGTTCTACTCTGTCCTGTAGGGTTGCTATGAGTCGGAATCGACTCGACCGCAACGAGTTTGGTTTTGGTTTTTATACAAAACTGATGCCCCGTGGGGGCAAAAACAAACCCTATTTCTTATTCTGGGGGGAGGGGGACACATTTTAAATAGCATTTTTCAGTTGTGAGAATTTTGAAATCCCATAATCAGAATAGTTTTTGAGTTGGTAAACTCATTCTACGAAACTGATTCAAAACATTCACACAAGGTTCTGTCAAGTCACGTATTTAAATAAAATTACTTTAAATAAAAGAATGCTAGCAAGCAACCCCTGAAATACGCTGTGGTTTTGCTCATTTTACGTTTGCTATACCGGATTGCTATACATTTGTCTGGCTTCACGATGCAGCCTGTTATTGCAGATTTAGGAGTAGCCGTTACCCTTGACAATTATAAGCAGGTCCTCGGGTGGGGCAAGCGGTTTGCAATGGATTACTAACAGAACAGCTGGCGGTCTGAACCCACCAGTGGCACTGCCGAAGAAAGGCCTGGCAATCTGCTCCTGTAGGGACCACAGCCAAGAAAACCCTATGGAACAGTTCTACTCTGTAACACATGGGGTCGCCATGAGTCGGAATGGACTCCTTAATGGGTTATTTTTCTTGGTCTTTTTTGACAATTAACAGAGGAAATAAATGGGACAGCAAGGTGCTGCGAGGGGTGTGAGGGAAAAACAGTCTGAGTAAGGCTGCATAGTATTGGCTCATGCCTACCTTCCCCTGCAAGAAGGTCCAAACGCCCTCGGCCCAGCAGCAGGTGGGGAAGGGAGACCAGAGGGCAGCGGACACAGAGAAGCCTCCCCATTGAGCACAGTAAGAAGGTGACCCGCCCGCTCACACAGCACCCAATCCGAAGTCATGCTCTCCCCCCGCCCACTACTGGAGCGACCTTTCTCCGCCCTCTTTCTACCCACCAACCAATCCGAAGTCGGGCTCTCCTCCCCGCCCAACAGTACACAACCCGGTCACGCTCTCCGCCCGCCCACTACCTGAGCGGCCTTTCTCCGCCCCTCTTCCTACCCGCCAACCAATCCGAAGTCGTGCTCTCCGCCCGCCCACTACTTGTGCGACCTTTCCCCTCTCCTCGCTCCCCCTTTACGACAGTTTTCCGGCTAGCTTTGCGGCCGCCGCTGCCGCCTTCCTTAGGTGCGGGTGACCCAGCGGCGCTTAGCTGTCGCTGTGGCGCGTGCTGCTCTCGGTCGAGGCGTGGGCTGGGCGGCCGCGGCCTCTGGGCTGGGATGAACCGCGCTCCCGGTGGAAGCAGGGCAGCCGAGCCGGAGCCATGGTGAGTGCGGCCTCCCGGCGCCCTAGGCCCAGGCTCCCCGACGACCTCGGCCCGGCCTCGAGGAGGGCTGAGCTTGTCCTCAGGAGCGCGGGCTGGGCGAGAGCTCCGCGCCCCGGGCCTCGTCCCCGCCGCCGCTCGCAGCCGGGGGTCGGGGATGGTGGAAACGCGCTCGATCCTGCCTGCCGTCCGCGCGTCCTGTCCGTCCCTCTCCGCCGGCTCCCGTGCAGAGAGCGCTCCTCCCGCCCTTTTCCCGTGAGGCGAGATGGGCCAGCGGCGCTCAGAGAAACTCGTGTTCTCGTTAATCCGACCCAAAACCAAACCCCCTGCGGTCTCGCGGATTCCGACTCATAGCGGCCCTACAGGGCAGGGCAGAACTGCCCCCTAGGGTTTCCAGGGAGCGGCTGGTGGATGCGAACTGCCGACCTTTTGGTTTGTATCTTAACCACTGCGCCACCAGGGCTCCTCCTAGTAGATAGTCCCACGTTTATCCTTGAAAATGCTTTATCAGACCTTCCAAGAACCGCCTGTGAGCAGTTCTTCCTCTTCTCCCACAAGCCTTATTTCCACTGCTGCGGAGACAGCTTTCATGTGACTTGTTTGCTCGGGGATGAAAGAGGCGTTTTCAAAGGGAAGAAATAATCCTTTTCACTATTTTAGAAGTAAATAAGTCGACGTGCCCTCTTGTTCCATAGTGGGAATCCCAACGAGCAGTGGTTTAAAGGATCATCGTGCAGGATATTTTCACCTTGTTTCCCCCATCGAGGTGAAGCCTGCAGTGGTTGGGGATGGGCGAGTGGGCATGACGGGCAAGGACGGGACTAGAGAGGTAAGCACTTACCCTTCTTCCCTTTACCAGGCCAGCACAGTGGTAGCGGTTGGGCTGACCATTGCTGCCGCCGGATTTGCAGGTTGGTTACGGTTTGGGAGTGGAAGTGAAGTAGGGGAGATTGGAGATTTGCTTGTTGATTCTTTTGCTTTCGTTTTTAGGCCGTTATGTTTTGCGAGCCATGAAGCATGTGGAACCTCAAGTAAAACAGGTTTTTCAGAGTCTGCCAAAATCTGTAAGACTAAGTCAACATTTTTGCCAATTTTTTGCTGAGGAGGGTAAATTTCCAAACATCTCTGAAGTTCTTTTCTTGACGCCCCTTCTGTCTCGCTTCACAAGAATAGACATTCTGAGCTTCATAATGATGCTATCCTCAAAAATCCAGGGTTATGTGACAGTGTTGGGGGGAGTTGCTAACACGTCCAGCGTCCAGTGAAATCATCACTTCATTGCTCACATACTCTTAACTGCGGTGTCATTCTGTTTACCTTCTCGCCTTCCCTCTGCTCCGCATCTCAGGCCCAGAGGCCTGTAGGGATCTAGTTGTCTGTTATTGTCAGGCCCCGGCAGCCCCTACCTGGACACTTGTGATTAACTGCAGACAGGGTGTGGGGTATGATGCATGCGCTGGTCATAGCACGGTATGTGGTCACAGGAGAGAATGAATTTGGCTCTGACAGCCTGTTATGTGCATATTGTTCCGTGTGTTTGATGGAATGTGACAGAATAGGATCATGGTAGGCTTCACCAGTAGGTTTCTGACCTAACAAGGTCAGAGGACCTGACTGCCTGTGTTTTATTAGTTGCCTTGAGTCTCATAATACCCTTGAGCCACTTGGCCCAAGAGACTTCTAAATCCTTGTCTTGAGGCACTTCTTATTTTAAAACATATTCTCATATTCTCAGATCAATTTTTACCTAGACCCTGGCTAACTTGGAATAATCTTTCCTTCGCTCCCGGAATAACTGGCTTTGAGTCCCTGCTCAGTTTTCTTACATTTCCAAGACAGTTTAGGTTGTCTAGAAAAACAACGGGTCTATTTAATGACATTAAAATGTTATTTGTTGCTACTTGTAAAATTAAAATACCATGGGAATTGCACTTAAAAGTTCTCTGAAATGACTTTTTTATTGGTTCTGTGAACGTTTGCAAACATTTTCTTAGCAACTCTCTTAATAATGCATTTCCTCTTTCAGGCCTTCAGTGGTGGTTATTACAGAGGTGGATTCGAACCCAAAATGACAAAACGAGAAGCAGCATTGATACTGGGTGTAAGGTACAATAATCCCTAATGTTTTTAATATTTTCTCTACAACTCTAGAGATACGAGGAGATGTAAGAAAGAGCTTCTCTCCCTAACTAGAGGGAGTTAATGGGGGTGTTGCCCCAAGAGGATTGATATTATCAGTTCTGCTCAATGGGCCTGCACTGCTCCTTCCTTCCATGGGCATTTTAAAGATCTAGATACTCTGCAAAAATCAAGAGAAGGCATACTGGCACATAGCACTTTTTCATTTATTGATAAATGTATCAACAGATGACCACAGTGCTCAGTACTCTTTATAACCAGTTAACACACGTTCTGTGGTGGAATTCTGCCTTCGTTTGTAAGGACTAAACATGCTGTCCTTCTCCCTGAAAGGACTGTTGGGGTTAAAGCGCTTGGCTGCAAACCGAAAGGTTGGTGGTGCCAACTCACCAGCTGCTCTGGGGGCGAACGATGTGGCCGTCTGCTTCTGTAAAAATTACAGCCTCGGAAACCCTATAGGACAGGTCTCCTCTGTCCTGTAGGGTCGCTGTGAGTTGGAATAGACTCGACTGCAGTGGGTGTTTTTCAGCATACTTCCTTTTCTATAAAAGGACTGTTGTAATGAATGTTATCTAGTTGAAGTAAATGTTAAAGAAAGCCTTACTTTTCTAAGGAGCAGTTAGTTCTGGTTGAGAATATTGATCTTCCTAGTGTGATAGGGAAGAGGTTCCTGAGCCTCTTTTCATTCTGTTGTGCGTTGACTTATGGCAGTTTCATAATATCTTTAATTGGGTTTTAGGAATTATTTTTTGATGTGATTCAGAAATAAACTGAAGTAAACAATACCTTTTTTTTTTTTTTTAATTAGCCCTACTGCCAATAAAGGAAAAATAAGAGATGCTCATCGACGAATCATGCTCTTAAATCACCCAGACAAGGGTACGTGGTCATTCAGCTCTTGTTACACGTGTTTTTGGAGTGACTGTTAATAATGGAATAATTTTACATCCAGTTCTTGGTGGTCATCGTAAGGGAAATGCCCAGATATGTGTGTGAGCACTGTCTCCAAAAGGGGATGCATTTTAGTATCTTGAAAGAATGCTGAATGAAAAACGTATTTACAGAACCATGAGCAGATCTAATAATTTACTGTAGTGTGGAAGCAGTGATGAGCATTAATGCTTTGAGATCTGCAGTTCTGAGAAAATGTGATTTATAATATTGACAAAGGCATAAATTTTGGTTTTTTTGTCTACATTCATGAATGAAATGCTAAATTTGTTAATGAAATTAAAAATGTAATTGTCCCCCATCTGTGAGACCCTTTGAACTAAAGATGCCCTAAATACAAACCTACAGGGTGTCATTTATTAGTTCCTGATGTGCTTGTAAGCAGCTCAACAGTTTTCCACCTTTCTTGGTTGTGCTGAAAGAAAGCAAATTAATTCCTTTCGGTACCAAAGTAATAGAACACAAAACCCACGTTCCAAGGCTCAAATCCTTTTAGTTCTATAGGAGAGGACTTTCATTAAGGAAGAAGGTTTTGACAGTTTCCGTAAGATTGCAATTGTTTGGTAATCTGACTCAGCCTCTTTTACAAACTTTAGCTTCATTGCCTGGAGGGCTTCTGATTCAATAAGTCTGGGGTGGGGCCCATAAATTTTGCATTTCTACCTAGCTTCCCTGTGTGGCACATGCTACCTGGCTGTAGGAGGAAAGCAGATTAGTAGGATGACACCATTAAGGGACAGTTTATTAAAGGAAAAGGGAAAACCTTGAAGGACAGAAGAAGGAAGATCTAAACTAAACTGGAGACTCCAAGGAAGCTCAGACAGAAGCCTCTGAAAATAGCACAGTTTGGAGACAGCTTGGTGCACTGAGTTAGTGGTTGTTCCTGACTTGGAGTCACCATGAGTAGGTTAACTTATGCTATTTTCTAGGCACATAAGTATGTCTTTTTAATCCCATTTCGGTCAATTTTTTAAGCTTTGGAAAAACGTCATTTTTAAAGAAATCCTCCTGTGAATTACCTTATCTCACACTGGTCAAATATATTACCATTTCTGCTAATTTCATCTCTCAAGACAAGCATAGGGGTCCTTGAAACAAGAGTAGCTTTTCAGCAAGCAGAAGTTGAGGATCCCCATTGTAACTATTCCTTTTCTCTTTCTTCCTGTAGGAGGATCTCCTTATATAGCAGCCAAAATCAATGAAGCTAAAGACTTACTAGAAGGTCAAGCTAAAAAATGAAGTAAATGTATCATGAATTTTAAAGTACATATTAGTTTACGTATATGAACGGGTCTGACTTTTTATAATAAAATGGCTCTAAGCTTTGATTTTTAAAAATGATATAGCACAAGCTAAATCAAAGCCTTGGTATAATTTTTTTGTTTAAATTTGAGAATTTTATATCAGATTATGCACTAGCTTAGAATATTTCGAGATTGTGATTTATAGATAATGTATGCCACCTGAACAGAAATATACTCTTTTAGCAAATAATTTGGTTCCTAAGGCACTTTTTAAGGTAAAGTGAACATAGTAGTCCCTGCTTTCGAGGGACCCCGGGTCTTAATGGGAGACTGACAGGTAAGCTGTTAATTAAAACACAAAGTGATAAACGTTACAATAGAATTAGCACAAACTGTTAGCATAGGGAACCATCTCATTGGGAGGAAAGGCTGTTCAAGGTCCATAGATGCACATTGTAAAAAGCAAAGGCCTACTTATGTGGAATCTTGTATTTAGCTGTAACTCTAACCCAAGAAATTGACTCAGCTATGTATGTAATATCACTGACAGAACTCAGACTTCGTACATTCATACAGTATGCTAAAAACAGACTTGAAAGTACAGGTCCTGTTTCTAATCAAGAAAGTGTTTACATTGTATTCAACCCTTCAAGATACTGATGATTGATAAATTATTCCTTTAATTGGTTATTTTTGACATAATTAAAGTTTTACAGATGTTATCACCAAGCATAACTATTATCAAAACTAAAAACTGAAACGCCCTCAGTATCAAAATATTCTGCTTAGACTCTTAAAAATTTACACACCAGTAAAGTTACATGACATCTGAGGGCGAATGGCTTACGGTTGGTCTAACAAAGTATATAGAGTATCACAAGCATCATCAAACCAAAGCCAAACCCATTGCTGCTGAGTCAGTTCCGACTCACAGCGACCGTAGAGGACACAGCAGAACTGTCCCATAGGGCATAAGGCTATAATCTTTACAGAAGCAGACTGCCGCCCCACCCCCACCCCGCCGCGTGGCTGGTGGGTTCGAACCACCGACCTTTTGGTTAGCAGCTGAACGCTTAACCACTGCAGCACCAGGGCTCCTATATCCTAACCAGAGGACCTGTATAAAATCTGAGGTACATTAGCAGTCTGGTCACCACGCGGATTATTTATACTGTGCAGCTCTAAGATGAGTAAGTTATACTGCCTACCCTCTAAACTTCCTTAAATCTCAAAAGCTCTCAATTATTAACAGAGAACACAAGGAATTTTGAGGTAATATAGTAATGATGTTTGTGTACAGTGACTCTTTTTAACTCTAGACAAACCCTCATATAGTATGTGTAAATAATTGCATGTGTTGAATACAAACAGAATACTGTTCTAAGACATATTAAGACAATGGAAGACATTTTAATACTAAAGAGCACAGCAGAGCACATTTTCTTTTACAGTGATCAGTTTTATTTTCTTTAGGCTTACCTTTTTCAAGTAGAACGCAGAATCCATATTTCACTAAAGGTTCAACCTAACATTTTTCTTGGAAAAAATTTGTCTGTATGGACTCTAGATCATATTGGGGAATAGATGCCAGTATGATCTAAAAGAGAACCTTTATCCTTCAATGGTTTTCTGTCTTTAAACAAAATACTTGATCTGTAATGCTAACATTTATTGAGTACTTACAATGTGCAAGCATTGTTAAGTATCTTCCTTTTCTCAGTAAATAAGCTACTTGCTATTATGTAATTTTACAGGTGAGGAAACTGAAGTTTATGGTGATTAGTAACTTGTCCAAGGCCACATGCTGACTGAGAAGGCTGAGTGACCCCGGTCTGTCTGAGCTGCAGAGCTCCATGCCTTTAACCTCCATGCTGTGGTCCCTCTCTCTCATCCTAGTAACCCAAGGTGTACTCCTCGGTGGTGCTGAGGTGACGCTGGTACCGTCTAGCGTGGACCCTTTTTTAACCAGTTGTTACAAAGATTAGCAGTGCTTGGAACCTGTTGCTGTCAACTCAATTCTGACTCATAACAACCCTAGAGGACAGAGTAGAACTGCCCCATAGGGTTTCCAAGAGTGGCTAGTGGATTTAAACTGCCGACCTTCTGGTTAACAGCCGAGCTTTTCACCACTGCACCGTCAGGCCTCTATCAGTGCTTATCCAGAAATACACTGAAGAGTGTGTGGGTGACCGCACCACTAGGAAAGGGAGGGAGGTGTGTGGGTGACCGCACCACTAGGAAAGGGAGGGAGGTGTGTGGGTGACCGCACCACTAGGAAAGGGAGGGAGGTGTGTGGGTGACCGCACCACTAGGAAAGGGAGGGAGGTGTGTGGGTGACCGCACCACTAGGAAAGGGAGGGAGGTGTGTGGGTGACCGCACCACTAGGAAAGGGAGGGAGGTGTGTGGGTGACCGCACCACTAGGAAAGGGAGGGAGGTGTGTGGGTGACCGCACCACTAGGAAAGGGAGGGAGGTGTGTGGGTGACCGCACCACTAGGAAAGGGAGGGAGGTGTGTGGGTGACCGCACCACTAGGAAAGGGAGGGAGGTGTGTGGGTGACCACACCACTAGGGAACAGGGCGTGCAAGTTTCAGTAATTGTGACAACTCCTCCACGTTTTATGGGAGAGGCAACTAAAGGACATGCCGATGGTTTCCAACGCTGTACAGCTAGTGAAACTAGAATTAGGCCTTGGGTGTGTTTTCCAGGTCACTGTGTTCATCTGTAAATGGTTCTCTACATATTCATATTCAGTAGGTACACCTGGGGGCATTGCTATCCACAGCCTTAATACTGGATCCGGTTTCTGTGTCCCTACTTAGCCTTTTCCCTTTTGCCTTCATGGGGCCTTTGGGTTGACATTAGATGAGTCCTAAGCTGCTGTATAAAAACTTGGCTTTGCTGGTGGTGAACATGGGCTATAATCAGTGATCCTCGAAGTTAAATATCTTTAGAGTTTTAAACAAATTCTCTTACCTTCACATATTTTCCAAGCGTTGGGATTACCTATAGAAACATTCAAATGAAGACAATAGTCTAGTTGTGCAGATTAGTATTCCATGAGACCCAACCCTCTGAAGAAAGAATTGGGGACCCATGTGAGAAAAGGAGCCCTGGTGGCACAGTGGTTAAGAGCCCAGCTGCTAACCAAAAGGTCGGCAGTTCAAATCCACCAGATGCTCCTTGGAAACCCTATGGGGCAGTTCTACTCTGTCCTATAGGGTCGCTATGAGTCGGAATCAACTCGACGGCAACAGGTTTTTTTTTTGTTTGGTGTGAGAATAGGTGCCCGTAAGCCCTTACCTACATACCCTGCTAATTCTAGAAGCTTGGTTATATGGTTTTCTCTGCCATCATTAATTTGCTATACTGTCACTTACAATAAACAGAAGCAGTGAGGGTAGAAGACAGCTAGAAACAAAACCAGTGAAAAATAATTGGGAAAAACTAGGGAACTGGATTCTTAACACAAGGGCAAAAAAACCCTTAAACCATTCCACACTGAAAAAACTCTATACAGCACACTGGAAAGCCTTATATCAAAAATATTCAAAAATAAAATCCACACAGGCAGAATGCTTCATCTAAAGAACAGTCGAGTTGTAAGTTTTAACACTTTAGGCTAGAACTGTTGTTACATTGCTGTAATGACTGAGAATTGATACGGTATCTTTCTGTTGACAGTGACCTATAGATGCTGGCCATGTTAAAAATTCCAGTGAAAATTCAGGACTTGGCTCAAAAACTTCAAAGAATAGACTATGACAAAAAACAAACTAAATTTGATGTCAGCAAAGATACTATTTACAATGCTTAGATTTTTAGTGATCTCAAGAATCTGGGCTGAGAGTCACCTCGAGGACCAGGAGACTCCAGTGACCAAGCCGTGCGTCTTGTTGCTGCACCTTATGCAGGTGCTGTGTGTCAGCCTAGAGCCAGGTGTTGCCTTAGCAACAAGATGAGAAGAGCTTGCTGACCCGCTGACAGAGTAGGAGTCCAGTGCTGAGGTATAATCTGTAACCTCTTAACACTGCCACCTTAGTGCTGTTTCAGTTAACAGCATGTTTATATGACATTTTTCTTTACAAATAAAAAGAGCAAATAAGTTGAAAAAGGTTGAAGTGTAAGCTCCAGACAACAAGTCTAAATTGTTTTTTCTAGAAAAACTGAAAAATTGTTTAATATGGTCTCTAAACTAAAAAATGAGAAGGTTCATTTTACAATTAATCCATTAAGTAAAAAGGGTACAAAACACGCAGAAAATATCCATGTAATTTCACCTAAAAAAGAATACACCAATCATTGAAAATACAAAGAAATTTGAGAAGCTATTTGGTACACTTTATAGTGGGCCATAACACAGGGAACTCAGTGACCAGTATTTGTCCTTGTTTTTGGATATCTTTAGGTTACATACAGCCTAGTTGGAAATTGTTGTGAAGGACACAGAAAAAACAGTTTTAGCTCAGCATAATCCTTATTGAGAATGCTTGGAAATATGCTTAACTATTCCTTGGGGTCACCCATGACTGGACTCGAGTTACGTTAAATACTGAAAGGGCCCTTACAATCAACCAGTCCAGCCCTCTCCATTTAGAGAAGAAATCAAGGCTTTGAACCAGTTCACTCATGGCCAACAAAGTGAAACTGCATCAAACCCGAATTTTTAAAGATTGGTTGAACCAGAATGGGAAAAATTAGGGGTCGAAGCCCTGCTAGGATCCTTATCTCCTTAGAACAAGGGCAGTGAACATGTTGCACTGCAACCAGATCTCTTGCCGCTGGATTTTGAGGGGAGTCAAACAACACTGCACCCCTTTCAATGTGTCGCTCTTCACAGCCCGGCCAACAGTCCAGTCTCACCCGAGTCTCCCATACCACAGCTTCGACCCATAATTTTCTGTTCAGGTTATCTTTCTGGATAACCCAAATTGTAAAAATTTGGGTCTGTTCTGGTTTCGCTTTGTCAGCCATGGCTGAACCCGTTTGAACCCCTGCTCACATCCTAATTAAAAGCTGACACAGGGTCAGTCAACTGAAATAAAAAGGATTATAACAGAATATTATGAAAAACTATACTCCCAACAAATTTGAAAACCTAGAGGAAATGGATAAATCTCTAGAAACACACTACCTACCCGAACTACAACAAAGTGATGTTGAAAATCTGAACAGACCCATAACAGGAGAAGAGATTGAAAAGGTAATAAAAAAACTCCCAACCAAAAAAAGCCCTGGCCCAGATGGCTTCGCAGGAGAATTCTACAAAACATTTAC